GCTTAGAAGTTGCAAGTGCAAATCCAACCAAGTCAAGGTTTTGGTAAATAACGCAAAGCTATCACACTTGAGCAAAATGCCAAAAGTTTGTTCTGACGGCAAAGAACAATCACCAGTCAGTCAAGTCTATAAACGTGTGAAAGCCATCAGCAAGCCCCCAACCGAACTGCAACCGCAGAATGTTTGGTGTAAGGAACTAGCAGATTGTCACACGAGCAGACACAATGACATGGTCATTACCTGAAACCAACATCAGCAGATCTGGTCTGGTAGGGTGAAAACGTCTTAATTTATTAATATTATGTAATTGGTGCGACACAAGCACACAAACATACACTGGAAACCGAGTAACCAAAAACACCATTTATAACATTTTATAACTCTCTTTCTGCCTCATTCCGCCTCAAGGTCCAATAACAAATCAAGATGACAGAACCGAAATGAATCGAATGCTCACAAAACATCTTCTGGAACCGAACCGGAAAATCATACGGCCGGTCCTTGCAACGAAAGAAACTGAACCAACACCCAAGTCATATGAAACTATATGCAATGCTTAGCGACCATCATCACTTCTCAGGATGTTGTCAGCTCTGACACTTCGCAGAAAACCAGATCGACGGGGATCGAAAGGCTCAGTGGACTACATGGCAGTCACATGCTGTCACAGACCGCTTGAGATTCCGCCTCTTGAGCCAAAGGTGTAAGATCAATCCGATGCAATGAGTCCCTTTGGAAAAGTTTTGTGCATGACCAACCTGCACTTCCATGCCACTGCGCATGCTACTCATCGCCGCAAAGGGCAGCTTGGAGACTAGGCATGAAGAGTTTTGATTCGGACTCCGACTTGTGGTGTTTGCCCTTGTGCTACCTTCAATTTTCAGCAGAATGTGCCAAGCGACAAGTTCTTCTTGCCAGGTTTGCTTAAAACTCCGAGACTGACGTCTTGTCATTCTCGTGGCGGAGGCGCTCTGTTCTTGGCCTCTCGTATAGAGCCAAAGTCCATCTCATGGATCAAACCTGGCTCCTGAATTGAAGGAATTGCATAGTAGGCAATCTGATCCGAGATGCTGGCCAACGCAACATCCACATCGTAGCATTCTTGCTCCCAAACGGCTCGATACAGGGCCTGCCTCACTTTCGGCAGCGTTTCCACCCGGTAGAGCATCGCAAAGAAGCCGAAGTTCACCCCGCTGCAGCGTTTGTTCGCCCTTCCGTTCCCATCTGGAAGCACACGGGACAAATGCTTCGACACACATCGGCCATATGGACAGCGCGATTTTAAGGAGATCACCTCCCAATCGCAGGGCGCCTCTTGAAGCACTGCTGCTAAGTGCCCAAAGAAGTCCTGATGTGCACGATGAGACGGCCGTTTGGTCGGTGTAACGATGAGACGAGGACAACATAACCTGGCCGAGCCATTTTATGAAAAGGACATCATCTGTCTGACACTTTGTGGATCAAACACTTTCTCACTTTTTCTATCTTTTTCTGGCCTACCCGTGATCTGCACGTGTGAAACAAACAACACTGTGAGGAACCGAAAGACATTAGATTTGTTGTTCTGACATCACTACTGACATCACTTACACCAACTCCTCGTGAGGATAAATGTCATCTTCCATCACCAAGGCCAATGGCTTCCTGCTCTTCTCCGCCTCAACGGGTTTCGGCTATTCTTCTTCGCTGGGCTGGTGGCACTTTAATACGTGGCTGGTGATGGTTCGAACGCAATTTTCTTGTATGGCGGCACAACCCCCTCGTATTGCATTAACACCCTTGAGCATCGCCCTGGCTACCACCAGTAGCATGGAACGCTCTCTTGCAAAGCACGTCAGTCGGGGGTGCGGCGGCTGTGGATTCGCCAGTGTATCATCGATATATCAACATTTGGACTTCAAAATCCGTTGGAACCATTGGATTTGATGCAAGTCCTTTCCTTGTCTTGGTGATGTCTCAAGTGCAACCCTACACCTACACCTTATAACATCTTATAACCCCTACCAGAGAAATATATAGGTAAAACCTCTTCACTCTTCAAGGCCTGCAAAACCGCCACGGTACCAAACCCGGCGCCTCTTTCATGGCGCGGAAGTGGGCGGCTGCGCAGCCGAAGGTGCCCTGCTGCCCGACGTCCGGTGGCAGCGACACCTTTGGGGTTGGGGCCGGTTGGTGCGGTCCGTGGAGGGGTCATTCAAAGTTAAAAGGAAGATTAAGACGCCCTATAGGTGAAAGTCAAATTAGGTTTCAGACTTGCACATGGTAATCTTGTACTGATGCAATTTCACGGTATTATCAATGCATGTTTTTGGTATGTTTTTGCATATTTTCTCATATTTTCTCTCCAGGTCTTCAAAAATACACAAGAAGGAAGGAAAAAGGAAAGTGCGGGTAAGTGGTAAGGAAAGGCACACAAAATCCTGCGCCATCTCCAAAGCAAAGGTCTCCAAACTCCAAAAAGCATGTCAAATTCAAAGAACATCCATGCAGTGTTAAGTTGAAGGGGGTCACCGTCTCCGTCTCACCCGTCTCACCGGTCTCTCTCGGTCGTTTTCGCTCGATCTCGCCACGTCACCAGGTCCTCGGCCTTGGCGGCGGCAAAGGCGCCCGGCCGCGTGAGGTCCACGCCGTCGACGCGGCGGAAGCGGATCCGCAGCGCCTCCAAACGAGCTCCTCGGTCGGTCCGAAAGTGGTGGCGAAGCGACGAAGCGGAAGCGAAAGCGGGAGTGGAAGCGATGGCCGGAAGGAAGAAATGAGGAAGAACCGATGGTCATTATAGTACAGCGGCGGTTTTCAGGTACTTCTAAGTAAGGCGCTTCCCAATCTACCTCATCTTGAAGGTGGACAGAAAAGCCACCAGTCACGCCAAAGCAATGGCCGGCTGTTTGCTGTGATGAATGGGGGTCAGAATAACTGTTGGTTGAAGTACCAAGGCTCAAAGAGAAGACTCAAGACCCAACCTCAAAAATCCCAATGCTCAATCAGCTCCAACAAACCAATCTCACCAGTCTATACCAGTCTCACCTTCATCATCCTTCAGCTATCTTCACCTCTGGCCTATCAGCTGAGCCGCGGGTCATCTCCAACCTTCCGCTCTCGGCCAGGCTTACCACATAGATCGACATTGCACCTGGCAGTTCCGCGCTCACCGCCCTCGGCGCACGGTCCAAGGTAGAGAAGCGTCCATGGGCTGCCACTTCACAAAGGAAGGGCTGCTGTAGGGCATCCATCCTTAGCGTCGAACAACAGTGCTGTAGACTCTGAATCTACAAAACCCCCCAATTGGATGCACGGACTTGCGGCTCTCGCCACCCACTCTCATCCCTTGCCAACGGGTGTGACGGGTATAGGTAGGGATGCCAGATTGTAAAACCTCTTCAAGGGGTCTTATCAACCAAGAGTCTACATTAATGAAGCTGGCTGCAAAGGTTTGGGCAACTGGTGAAGCTTACGTTATAGATATTCTGATCCCACACACACACAGACATACTGATCCCTATTCTCAGATTATGATTGTGGGTGGACTCCTAATCCGCTGTCTAAGGGTGAATATAAATCAAACGTGACCCAGCTGCTGGTGTCGTTGGACCCCCCCTTTGCTCCACACACCAACACTTCTATAAGGGCCAAAAAGCACAGGGCCCATCCACCAGCCACTTTGCTGTCTTGAGTCTTTCGGGCGTTCGTTCAAAATATAATGTCAAGGCCCAACCTCATCCCAACCTCTTTCATTCAGCTCCACACCGAGCATCCTCTCCTCGCTGGGGTCCGGTGCCCAACCAAGGTCAAAGACCTTCTGCTGGTTCTGCAACCAGGTACTAAAGCCGTGACTGGCATAGCATCCCTCGTGCTTCATGAACTCCCAACACCAGTCGGGCTGCTTAGCTCCGGACGCCGGTCCGGTCTCCAACTCCCGAAGACTCGAGGCAGACGTCTCGGTCTTCACCTGGAGTTGCTAGAGCCGAGCACCCGGCACTGGAAAGCGGGAGTGAAGTGAGTAGCGAGAATGATTGAGAACGTGACACTTTATCCCTTCTCCTCAAGAGAGATTTCGGAAAAAGAACAGACTATTGAAGTGCCCAGACCTGCTTCTTGGTCCACGCCAGTGCTTTGCCCGTTTCCGTTTCGGTTTGTTCCGTGCATCACACAAGGAAGCTCCAAGACACAGGCCTACAATGGCCTGTCTCACCACCTGTTGCACCCGGAGACTCTTCTCGCTGCTTGAGACAAGCCTGCTTTGGGTCCCAGCCCAAACCGTCCGGGACATCGACGTCCGCCCCGCGCGGACCGCGTTCGGCGTCGTTCGCCTCTGGAGAGACGGCGCAGCGCGTTTGCCAGGCGTCGCTCAAGTGAAAGCTCCGAGAAGCCGATGAAAGCACCGGCGCACTGTGGTTACACCAGCGGGTCGAAGTCCTTATCATGGGTCGAGAAGAGGAGCGACTCACGACCAGCGGACGGGGCTAAAGGAGGAGGGGTGAACCGAACTTCCCTGTCCCGTTCCGACATGTTCAGATCACTTAAGGGATTTGAATGCCAATTCCGACCTCGGAGGATCCCCCACGACCTCACCAAGCCTCACTTCACCCAAAAGCGTTCGCTGGGCGCCGCTGCGAGCAGCGTGTCGCCATGCGCTCGCCAGCACGCCTGGACGGTGGGTTGGAACGATGAGGAATGGACTCGTGGAGCGGAGCCTCCCCCATTGGAGACTGAATTCTTTTCCAAGGTCTGCTGTACCGGATTTGTTCCTGACACAGTTTTTGGACAATTCCCATTGGTTGCCACAACTTGAGATGATCTTATGTCCCGCAGGAATTCTGACAGAGACACCCCGACCGTCCCTGACCTACACATACGAAGCCGACGAGGGCTGGTGCCAGCCGCAGGCATGGCACTGATGAGCCACGCGACTGGACAGTCGCGGTGCGCGCGCCCGGCGCAGACAGGAGCCCCTCGGTCTCCACATCAGGATCCAGGTGCATTTCATGAGCGCTTTGCGCCCATGTGACACCAATATGGGTCCCCAACCAAGCGAACAAAAAGAGAACATGTTTTTGTTCATTTTTGGATTCTGGGGCATAGCTGCCAAATCATGTTGGGGGGGGCTTTAGGATTCTACACACGATGATTGCAGGTAGAATCATGCAGACCATGTAATTGTACCTGCAGGGGTCCCTGTAATCAGCAACGACCAATAGATATTTATATATATAATATATATATATATATAACATTATCATAATATTATATAATATGTATTTGTCTGCAACTTGATAGCATGAAAAGTTTAGTTGGCCACCTGTGACCCAAAGTCGGGGCACTGGTGAAGTTCCAAAACCCCGTCCCAAACACTCCATGTGGAATATAATCAAATGTAAATTCACCAATGAAAACCACGCCAAAGTAGGTAAATTTGCCATATGCCGTACAGGGAGTGTTTGGGCATGAGGCTGTTGACCAGGTTGGACCGAATCGAGCACGAGAACCGAATCGATCTCCCCCACAAGCACACCTGCTCGTCCACACAGGAATCGTATCCCCAAAAAAGTAAGTGAATGACAACGAACTTTCCACTTCGATGATTATTTACGGGAGTGTAACTGGACTCACGGAGCTATGCCTTTGAAGATCCGCCAAATTATTGATCATCCTGTTGTTGTTGCTGCTGCTGTTGTTTTCGGACACCTCGAAGTCGCATATCGCCATGGCCGCAGCAAAGCACCAGTGATTGGTATGGTGGTTGGTTGATGTGCATGAAGAAACTGATGCGAATGCAGATTCCCAGTATATGGAGTAACCCATCCCATCCCGTTGGGGTGACCTGGTTGGATCTGGGCTTGAAAAACTGTCCGTTGTCCGAACACATGGAGCAACCTCTCTCAGGGCTGCAAGGGTAGCCAAAACATGCTTCACATATTGCGCACACCTTTTCCCCAGGGCATTGCGAAATGCTCTCCCCTTCCATGGCCTCAGGAGAGCAAATTTTTGACAAGTGCATCGGACATCCTCTGACAAAGTTGAACACATACATGGCTGACTCTCTTCCTTTGATTTCTTCCTGACTCGCACCTTGCCAAATACCGAACTGCTTCAGCTTAGGGCCACACCACAATAGCAATTTCCACACTCCATGAAGGCTCCTTGGTTGGCACCTTCCGCCAAGACGATGCAATAGATGGCATCTTCCCAGCCAGTCGTGCCGCATCGTCGATGCATGGAATCACAATCAAATCACCATGCTGTCACATCTGCATCCTGCACCTCAGACTTACAATTGGAGATTCATACCTAGACCTACACCCATTCAAACTTCAAACACAAGGTTGTAACATTGACGTGTGTCTCACCAGAACGCAGACTGAACAAGGCGGGCATCATCCATGGAAATTTCCGTCGCCTCTGGGTCCGAAGCATTGCACATTGGGAAAAGCTCTGCCGGAAACGATCTCCGGTAGCGCGCGTCCCATAGGGGCATTTTGCGCCCCTCAGGCGATATGAAGACCCCTTACTTGCTTTTCAGGAGATGAAGCACATTGAAGCACATAGCAACAGCTTAGTTAAGTGCTACCCCGTCAAATCAAATATCTCCAAGAAGACTAGCCTGCAAACCAAATATCCAAATCAAAAGAAATAGATGCATAAGACAATGACAAGGCTCACCTCTTCTTTCCTTTGGTTCTTCCGCTCTTCACTGTGTGGATGCATCGCTTCCATGTTCTTTTGCACTCTCCTCGCGACGAGGCGCACTTCGCAACACGTGTCAAGGTGTCGAAGTGACTGACCCCACCTGTGCCGCCTGCGATACTTACCGCCTGTGATCTTTCTTCTGTACCTGTCGCCACTGCGACATTGAAGAGTCATAATATGTCATAATCATATCACTCACGCTTCTCACCTGATCAAACGTGTATTTACTTTTGGTTCCTTCGCTACAGCAAAGCGCGTCGGTCCTGCGACCTCTTCCATGGCCTCAGACGAAGAGGCCTTGCTCTTCACATGCAGTTGAAGAGGCATACCTTTATGTAGGGCCTTCTTGAATGTCCAAATCTTCTCGCCTTCTGGAGATATGAAGACCCCTTACTTGCTTTTCAGGAGATGAAGCACATAGAAACAGCCTGGTTAAATGCTGCTACCCCTTCAAATCAAACATCTCCAGGAAGACTGGGGTGCAAACCAAATATCCAAATTAAAAAAATAGATGCATAAGACAATGACAAGGCTCACTTCTTCTCCCCTGTGGTTCTTCCACTCTTCACTGTGTGGATGCATCGCTTCCACACTTGCGCCATGGGCTTGAGCACTGTGCTAAAGCTTCCCCTATTCAAGCCAAAAGCTGAGGGAATGGGCTTCCACTGGCTTTTTGAGCAACACCGAGTGTCAACCCTTCCATCCATAGTCCTGGAAAGAAAACTATCAACCTTTCCAATCCCTCCTGTGGGACATCCAGCTCTTTCAAGGTCCACCGGTCAAATCCTCCGCTGGAACCGCATGCGGAACCGCCTGCGGTTCAGCTGAACCAGGCCTGCAAGAGCTGCTTGGAGTCCCTCGCCAGGCCATCCACGCACATCCGCAGCGCGGTCTTCCGCGTGGCATCCGCCTCCGCGCGCTGGAGCCGAGCCGACAGCACAGTCTTCCGCATGGATCCCACCGGGGGAAGACACGCACAGCACGGTGTCGCAGGAGACGCATGGCCAATCACAAGGCGAAGAAAGCAGGATCATGACTTGGTGTTTCCCTCGGCGGTTCACGTTTTTTGTCAGGATAAAAGGCACACCATCAAAAATGCACAAAACATAATTGTCTAGTGGTCTTCAAGAATTGCTGACCCCCCTCTGCTTCCTATTCTTGCCATAAATCCTGCCAAAACCCAGCTGCTCTCCTGACATCATGAGCAACACCCTCTCAATCTCTCCCAAAGAGCCTGAAAGACTCTAAGTGCAAGTGCACTTATGATTGCAATATGATTGCAGTCATCCCTCAAACTTCCCCGACCTCTTCGAACTCTCCACCTCGCGCCTTGGCCAAGGCCTTCTGCCTCGCAGGCTCGCTGGACCAGCTGAGCTCCTGCAAGAGCGCCTCACCGAGAACCGACGCCGACTCGACTCGACTCGTTGGGCGATCATGGCGTGTGGCGATCACGTTTGGAAGGCGTTTTTCCTCTTTGGGTGAATCTAGTTGTGGGACCTTTGACAGGAGACTCTTTGAGAGGGGCATTTAACAAAGATGCAAAGTAGCTGGTGCATGGAAATAATTTTGCGACAGCGTCTTCTTGTCTCTCTTTCTTTGGATGTGCGCCAAATCATCACCGTTTGGGTGCGAGTTCTGAGATTCTCGAAGCATTCTCAGCGCGTGGACAACTTCGGTTTTTCATGGAGTGCCCTAGGCCAGATTGAGCATGATTTAACTACCGCTATTTCAATGTTTTTCAGCCAGACTTGATGCATGCAGAAGCTTCTGGTCATAGGCTGTGCGTGGTGCCAGGCGTTCGGGCCTCACGCCTTGAGAGTCTGTTACGGATGCCAGTGCCAGTTGCGAAAGTGTTTCTTCGAGGATTACGAGGAAAACATCCAGAATTGCTCATCAGTGTTGCTTTACCCTTACTCAATATGTACACATTATAGTTATAGTCATATATATATATGTGTATACAAAGAGAGAGAGAGAGAGGGAGAGATTTCATTGGATTTCCGGTCGTGGCATCTCGTCCCAAACGGAGTCGGCGCCTTGGCGACGCCCCAGTGCTTGGAGGCCGCCGCTTTCACCACGGCACAGCCCAAAGCCTGAAAACCACCGTTCTTCGGCGACGGACCGCGAAAGGCGGACCGTGGTGGATGAAGAACTGATGTCTTTTTGTTCGGAAGGGTTTTAGGGTCACGTCCAAGGTCCATCCGGAAGACAGAGGAAGTGAAGTCTGAAATCTTGATAACGAATTGACATGTATGGATATAGGAGATCACATGAGATAACCAAGGTAACCAAGGAGTCCATATTTATCCTTATTGTGCGTCAATGTCTGGCAACTGTTCTTCAAAAACAGTAGCATGCCGGCATGCCGTAGCGCAATTGCTCCTCGGGTGCAGTGCTCTAGGTTGTTCATGCTCAGACCCCCAAAAAAAGTGCTACCAGTTCTGCTTATCAATGTATCTGCCAACAAAATGAATCCGAACGCCTGAGGCCGGTGCGTTCATTCTGCGGATGACGCACCCCATTGGTCTGTGGATTTGAGACTCCATGACCCGCTCATGAACGACCTGCTCTGGCGGCCTCCGCATAGGGCGCTGCCTCCGTGCTTCGGTGGGAAGGCTGCCCGACAGCCTGGTGGAACTGGAAGGAAGTCACACCGACTGGGGCGCTGACCCGAGTCTGCTGCTTAGATCGGTGAACCCCCAACTCTGGCTGCTGGAATCGAGTCATCATGAGATTGGGCAACGTGGCTCAAGTCAAAGTGAGTCGCCCGGCGACTCGTAGGTTACGGATGAAGCAACCATCAAATCAATGAGGCTTGTTTGGCATAGTAGCAACTGCATGCAACGGCCTAAAATTAAACCTCCACAGCCACAACGATGGACTCTACGCGCGCCAAAGACCATCATTCGAACTAGTTCAGGAGGGCTGCAGAACAAAAAAAGCTTTCGCCAAAGGTCGATCAAGTTCATGTAGGTTCAAGAGTATGTGTAGTTCGTAATTGTCTCGAAAGTTCTCCAACCAAAAATCTAAACATATCTGAACCCACTTCTTCATTGTTTGGGGGCAGGGCAAGCTAAAGCATACAAGAGAGTTCAGGCTAGGGATGGCTAGGGCCATGCCTCTACACTGCCTAGCCTTGTCTGATCGGTGAGCAAAGTGCTCTGGAACACCAGCACAAATGACCTCAGGTTTGGCCCATTCGGACCTCAGCTTCCTGCTTCATCTCCGGTGGGAGCGCTTGCACCTGAGGCGACACTTCGGTAATGACGAAGAACGAGTGATCAAAGTGAACAAACCACTCGTTGTCTTCATTCTTGGATCGTCCTGCACGTCAATGTGGTTTCTCCACGACATGTTTTGTTGAACGTGTTGAACTTGCATGAACTTGCATCATACATCACCCAACTCCTGTCAGGAGTGGACCCCAAAGGTGCGGTCCGAGGCGCCACCAGGCCCTTCCAATTGAAAGGACCGTTCTGAAGACCTCGGTGTCGAGACGTGGCTCAACGAGCTGGACCCAGCTTGGAGGCCGTGCCGATCTGCGCGGCAAGGATACAGTAGATTAGTAGTTAAATGCAATTAAGCATAACACGTCTTGATAAATTGTTCAACAGAACATCTACGGATCTCCAATCTCTAAGTCTGAAGTCACCAGAATGAGTGAGAAATGTACACCTCGCTGCTGAGGGTGGATCAAATAACTGAGAATGCCTAAAGTGCAAAGTGAAACGTGATTCAACCAGGATGATGATGATGATGATGATGATGATGATGAGGAGGAGGAGGAGGAGGATTTACGGTGATGTCATCTGCCAGCTGGTAGATCTGGTAGCACTCACCATTTGAACATATTTGAACCGTAACAACCTGAGTCAACCTGAGTCAACCGACCATCGGATTTTCAGGGCTTTGCAAAGGGCATCCAACAGAACTCCCAGTGGGCCAAAAGCAGAGACCTCACACTCAATGGATAGCCAATTCATCCAGGAAAATATTGTGAATTTCTCATCTTCTCCATAAAACATCATAAAACCAATTTAACACCCATCAAAAAAACACATCAGAGACTTTGATTTGGCTCCAGTTCACACCTTCACCATCCTTCACCATCATCACCTTTTCAACTTTCCTTCGCATCGTGGGGGGTTCAAGACGATTCCCCGCGGCCGCCCGCGGCCTGAAAAATCGCCGCTGCTTCGGGTCACGGGTTTTGGGGGTCGGCCGTGAGAAGTAGACTCTTTTCATCATGTTTTTCAATATCTCTTCGCTTTGAACCCATCTCTACCCCTCCGCCGAACGAAAACGGCACGGCCTCCCCTCCGGGGCCCCGCCGTCGCGCACGTCCGCGACCTGGGGTGCGGCGTGACGACCTGGTCACTGGTCACCGCCCAGCCTCTGGGATCTCCGGGCGGCCTCCTTGAAAAGGCCATAATGGTGGATCAAGAAGGATCTTCTGAGGTCTCAAGTCCAGGCTCCTTACCCCAACCTGGATCCATTCTCTTGAGCATGCGCCATGCCACTAAAGAAGTAGCTAGTAAAGTAACAGCTATAGTACTCCCTGTATCGAAACCTGGTGTCCAATCCAAAGAGCAGGTATCTTCAAAAGTGCCAGCGGTCATATTCAAACAGAGAACACTGCCGGTGTCCATATCAAAACCATTCGTACTTGGTATGCCGAAATACCGTTCCACCATGCCGAAACTACCATGAAAATCGCTACACTTCTGACTTCTCCAAACATGAAGCTTCCATAAGCTTCCTGTGTTCGTGGCAAGCCCAGCGTGAGCCCACCACGAATTCCGGCGGCGTCGCCGACGCGCATGGTCCGGCCCAGCCGGCCTTGATGCCGGTGGAGATCGCCGCCTGACAGGAGCAGTTCGGAATCGAGCTGTGGAGTTCAAACACTGGGGGGGGCATGCGGACCTGTGCCCCCCCCCCCCAACTGATCTAGTGGGTGAACGCACATCCACTTGTTTGGGTGGTTTGCTTGCAAGTGTTGACACTCACGCCTGTTGAAGAGGCATGGGACTAGAAGTGAATTTCTCGTTAAAGAACGGTTTATGTCTTTTTTGGATGTTCATAGAGAGCTGCTTGAAGACATAACCCTCTTGCTGAAGATGAAGTAGGTTGAGAGTGGTGGCTTTTAAGACCTCCTCTGGCCGATATGTGTCAAGAGTTTGGCCTCGTCGAAATGGTGTTTCCATTGCAACCTCATGGCTTGGGACTTAGACTCAGACCTCACGAGGCTTCGAATTTCATCCCTTCATGGTGATCCCTGAAGTTGTTTCAAATCAAAAGTTGATGGAAAGACATCCCGAAAGTCGCTTCCCGAGTCCATACGATCTTTTTGGGGTGGCATCTTAAGATCCTTTAAGATCCATGCAATCTATTTGCAATCTCATGTTCCAGACGCTTTCCTTCCAAACGAAGATCCGCGATCCACGGCCACCGCGGTATACCGCGGCCCCGTCCTCGGCACCGCTGCCGCGGCGGATCTCGCCCATCATCTTGCGGCTCGTCAGCAGTTCCTGGGGGTTTCGCAGCAGTTCGCGGTCGTGAGCAGTTCGCCACTTCCACCGATTCGACGCGAGAGTCGTCATGATTTGACCATGATTTGCCAGTCTTCCTTTGGAGTGGGACCAGCCCCTGGTAGAATGCAATATCATAGATTCAGATGATGAGGCGGCAGCGGAACTTCGCATGAATGACTTGGGCCTCTCGACCCGCCTGGCGAGGGCATGGCACTGCGGCCACCAGGGTGCGGCCCAGCCAGTGACGCCCCAGGAAGCCCTGCACCTGGCACGGCGGTTTCGGACAGGCGGTTTTCGGTGCTTTGCGTGTTCAACGTACTACAGGC